GTCTGAGTTGACCCTGAATGAGAAAGTACTTTGAGGATTCGTACTTAACTCAATTTAAGTACGTATTTGATTGTTAAGATCCTGACTTAGTTCAGGAAAATTCATGTTTTTCCATTTGTAAAATCTGAGAAGACACTTGACCCAGAAATATCCGAGTTATGAGTAAATACCTGAAGAATAATTTGTCGGGGTGTTCTGTTGTCATAATTGTTCGAAATGACTGAAATAAATGATAAGATTGAATTTAATAGTAAGATCGGACGGAAGGAAATGATTTAAATACGTTGAATCTGTAAAATGACCAAAATACCCTTGTAATGGAAATGATCCAAGAATATCACCAAGCTCAGGAATGATTGGATATCCTTGAGCTCTGAAGTGAATGGAATAAAATTGAATACCAAAATTACCAAAATAACCTTATGGCCTAAACTAAGTAAATGTTTTGGATTAATTAAGGAATTAAAATAAGCATAGGTACTAGACTACCTTTAAAAGTAATGGAAAATAATTTAAGTGAGTAGATCAACCCTAAAGCTATGTCAATACCTGAATGACATATATATTACTGGAATACGTATTCGTCCTCTCAAGTTTGGCTCGATGACAAATTTTGGAAGTATTTAGCTCAGCAAAACTCTAGATCGCATTCAGTGCTAGGAATTGGACGTTTGTTCGACAAATCAACCATGAAGACTAAATTGAATGGAATGGAAGTACAACATGTACTAAAATTCAGTAACATCTAAATTACTCTGAAAAACCCCCCGAAGTAACTGGAATGGACTTGACTGCTAAATAAGCTAAGTAACCTCAATGATTGAGGATTAAGTAAGTGAATTGGATAAGTCTGGAAATTCTGATGAGTTTATAAGATGTACTGTCCTTATGGAACATGAACTATAAATCAAACACGTCAGTATTTCATGATATCGTGGAAGTTTGGAAATGAAATAAAGATCATTGGAAGATCTATTCATCGATGATTCTGAAGATGATCTATGAACAAGAATTTGTGGTATTAAAAAATAAATACCTTGGAAGGAAAATGAATTGACCAGTGGACTTAAATTGTTAAGGTTCTGAATCTTCGTTCTCAAGTTGTTCGATTATCCAATCCATTGACATGGATGTAAAGGATTCTGAATACCCTTCTGATTACGTACAACTTCTGAAAATTTTCCGAATAAGATATGATCCTGATAATTCACATTCTGAATAACTTATGATTCCGTTAGTTATTGAACTTTTTAGAATAGTGATTTTAAATTCCGACATTCTATCGTTATACTGAAAATTCGTGTTTATCTACTTGCTAAGATTATCCAGTACCTCTGAATAATATTTGTAAACTCTGGTGTGTTCCCTAATCATATAATTATTTTATCTGATTTCCGACTTGAATTCTGTTCTGATTTCTGATCTGGATTCTGTTCTGATATCTGTTCTGAATTCTATTTTGATTTTTGATATCTCCGTTTAATGACGGAAAAATGTTTTAATTGGGGGTATTGTTGAAGGAAGAAGTTCCGCAGGTTCCTCGGCTTTGTGCTCAGGGCCTTATATGATGTATTGGGTTAGGTGTATGGTTATGGGGAACCTACACATTTTGATGTGATGGGATAGAGGTATATATATATATATATATATATGTTTTAAAAGATCTGTATCTTTTTACTGGTTTTACGGAAACACACTAGATAACCTATTCTGATCTCCTGAACTCAGTCATTCGAAATATTTGTCTGAACTGAAAGCTTATTGTCTGTTACCATCTGAAATATCAGTAGGATCTCTGCTCAGCATAAAAATCTGTAAATGTTTGAAAATAATAAGGATAAGTATGTTTATTTGTATATGCACGTTCTTCAGTATCATCTGGTAGTTCTGTATTACTGAACTTTTCGAAGCTCACTCTATTACTCACCCTTTTAAGTTAAAATAATTGTATCAGTGCATCTATCGACTTCAGTAAGGGAGTTCTTCCAGCATTGTTGCAGAGTATGGTATATGTAATTAGGGGACATGTAATTGTATTTTGATTTATATACGAGTCTGAAAATCTATTTTATTTTTAAATAGCGACAACTGATTTTTATTAGTTTACATGTACTGATAAAAAAAATATAAATTTTCCGTTATTTTTACAGTGGGTCGCTTCGGTGACTCAAATGTGACACCCCAGATCGGATCTGGTTACCCGCATCGGTCTGGTTACACCAAGAAGATAACAAACTACCTGTACCTCCACCCCTTCCACGGCCCACCGGAATCGGTGTCGGAGCAGTCCCTCTAGCCGTCCGGCCACCCCTAACGGTGGATCTCGGAGTACCTTAACTGCTGCCCCTGCGGAACCCTCCACCACCCAATCCGTCTTCGAGCGAAGACTTCCGCTAAATCGACGCTTCTCACGAGTCTATCTCTCGACTCCACCATTGCTTTACGGATTTCATCACACACAAAAATGCAGAAACAAACGGAAAAGTGAAATGGGTATCATAAATTTCCCAGAAAAATGGAGAAAAAAGCAAGAAAGAAGAAGGAAAAGACCGAGAAGATGAATTCTGCTAAAAACTACCAACCTTAGAAGAAATGGGTGATTGCTTGAAGTATTTAACGGTGAACGATCAAAAAATGGAAGAGAAAGAAAGGCATTGGCAGTTTGGAGAGGACATTTTGGCAATTTTTTCAGTGAAAAAAATGGCGGACTTATAGGGGCTGGTTTCGTTTCTGCAAAACTCTCGACACGCGCGCAACTCGCGTGTTCAATGGCTATTTAAATTTTACTTTTAGGAACTGAAATATGATTTGATCTTTAATCCCGCTTATTTGGTATAATTCAAGTCTTAGTTCCTATATCATGTTATAATTTGCGATACCATTTCCTTACTTTCGTTTTGGCACAATTTGCTTTTTTTTTTTAATAGGGGTGTTCAAACGATTAATTTGTCTACTGACCGAACCGAATTACTATTAACCAAATTAATCAAATTTTTTTAACCGTTAATCGAACCGACCATTTTTTGAAAATATTAACCGTACCGAACAAAGTTCAGTTATTTCGGTCGGTTAACCGAATTAACCGAAATTTTTTATAATTATATTAATTTAAATATAATAGATGTATACTTTTTATTTGAGTTAAAATTTAATTAGATATTAATAATTTAATGAGTCTACAATGGTTAAAAAAATAATCGGGGGTATTAATTCTTAATGGGTTTGAGCTTAAGATATGTATTTAATATATATAATAATAATATATATTATTCGTATGAATTAAGGGTGAGTAAAATTCGATTTGAATCTAAAAAAATTAAGAAATGATAAATTTAAGTTAATTAAATCGTGTTAGTTAAATCGACTCAAATTAGTTTTTCTGTTTTTTGAATTTGATTCGAGTTGAACTTTTATAATTCGAATAAGGATGAGCAAAACTCGACTCAAATTGAAATTTTTTTAAATAAAATTTGACTTATGAAATAAGACTTGAATAAAATTGAAATCTTTAGTAACTAATGGATTGTTTTTCAAGTTCGAGTTGAGTCTCTCCACTCTGCATGATATGCATAATCACATATGAAAAAAAATATACATGTATATTGTATATAATTATAAATAACCTTTAATTTGAATCAATTAGTATCATAATATTATTTATATTTACAATTAAATTTAAATATAAATTCGAATTATTCGACTAGACTCGAAAAAAGTTTCAAATAGAGTTTAAGTTATAAAATACAATTCCTCAATTTGATTAACTTAATTTTTTTACTCAACTCAATCGAATATTCACTTCTAAATTTAAATATAGAAAATAAATTAACAAGTTGATGTATATTATTAAGTCTCATTCAATATTTAAAATGACCAAATTGATAAGTTAATTTAGTTTTTATTAGATTTAAATATTAAGTTATATAATAATTAGGTAAAATGGTAATTTTTTGTTCCTGTAGTAGACTCGAATTATCACTTTTGCTCCTATCGTGTTTTCGCATCAATTTAGCATTCGAAGTTGCTCAATTGCATCATATTATACTCTACCCTAACTTAAAACCCTAAATTATAAACATTAAATCCTAAATCATAACCTCATAACCTCTAAACCATGAATCCTAAATAATAAACCATACTTTAGGGTTCATAATTTAAGATTTTAAGTCAGGAGTAAGATATAGAATGATACAATTTAGCAGATTCGATGGTTAAATTGATGCGAAAATATAATAGGGACGAAAGTAATAAATTGAGTCTACTACAAGCTCAAATGTGACCCTTATGCCTAATAATTAACTATTGAGTTAAATTTAAAATATTTTTTTGAAATATTAATTTTTTTCTTTGAAATATTTTTTTACATACTCTCTAGCTTATGCATTTTGACTTAAAATTTATTTAAATTTGTCAACAAAATTTAAATTTATTCTATTTAATTTTTAAAATTTAATTAAATGAATATATTCGTTATGACTCAAATGTTTTTAAACCCGATAGAAAAAAAATAAAATTTGAATAATAAAATAAAAATAGAGAACAAGTTAAAGGTATACCAATAGAGAGAGACGTTCAATAGATTATAATTGAAGATCAATACAAACACAAATCATATATGCGAGTGATGATTGCAAAGGCAGTGAAATTAAAGATGCAACACAAAGCAATCCAAGCATCTTATATGTGTATATATATACCAGGCCAAACCTCAATTTTCGACGCAGTTGGGTCGTGAGTTAGGTAGTGATGAATGCAGCCATGGTTGTAGAATAGATCCACTCGCTTCTTCTCGGCATCTCGCTTCCGCTTTGGCAATTTATAGAATGCTTTCTTCTCGGTCCCGAATACCGTCTTGGAACTCCGCATCTGATAAATAAGCCTGGAATCAGAGTATGAACTATGAATATGAACATCAGAGGGGAAAAGAAAACAACAGAGCAAACCCTTCAGATTGAAATCGATCCAAGTCACGAGGTTTTCGGAACTGGTCATCGGTTTATCGTATTTGAATGTGCTTAGAGGGCTGTAAGCACCTCATCCTGGTCCTGCTCTATCTGTTCCTTTGGTTCCGAATGTTCGTCGTTGGTTTTAGCAACCTCTGCAGAATCCTCTGCTTCAGAAGGGTCCGCTGGACTCTTTTCCGCGGCTGTACGATTTCAATGCATTAGATATAGTTTCAGAATCATATGAAATGTACCGAATTCAATGGTTGACGGAGTACAAGTGTTCTTACGAGGTGGGCTGGTTATCGGGGAAGTGCTCCTAGAGTGTTTCTCAGGTGACAAGGCAGGCGGTTGTTTCTTACATTCAGCAGTGAGAACAGAGGAAAGAGCGGCTATTGCGGCCGCTCTTTGTGATGCCTGACGAAAACTGATACGCTTTGGAGCTGAGGTTTTGGTTTCGGATGAAGGATTAAATGCAGATTCTAAAGCTGCCAAAGCTGAAGCTCTTTGCGATCCCTGACTAGAACTGGGAGGCTTTGGAGATGAGGTTTTGGGTTCATCTGATGGATTTAATGCAGTCATTAAAGCTGCTAAAGCTGCAGATCTTTGTGTCGGTCCACTCGGATCTCCCTGGGAGCGATCCTGGGCCTACAATAACGACGCATGTCGAACAAGTTAACTCATAAGCAATGTAATGAATGGTTTGAATTCTGAAGAAAACAGGCACAACGAACTTCATTCATAATCATTATGTAAGAAAACAATATTCGGGTTTGCTTGTAACACAAAGAACTGGCTGCAAACGCCAAAGGAAACAATAATAAGGCTCATCTATGTCGAACCACAGATACATACATACATACATACACTGAAGAAGTTCAGAAAATAGTAAAGTGGCATAAGCAGGTTATTACCGAAGAGGTCGATTTGGCCGGAGATGGATTGAATGCAGAAGATAAGGCGGCTAACGCCGCAGCCCTTTGAGTCTTACCCCCTTGGAACCCCATGGACATGTCCTGTCTCGAGAGAATAAATTCCATCATTCAGGGAACAGTTAAATCTAATTAACCTGTTAAATTGAATTGATTAAACCAGAATTTTAACTTCATGTGAATTAAAGAAAGAATTTACCTCTGCAGCATGGCTAGCTCCCAAGAGCAATGTCAGGCTAGCTCCAAAGAGCAATGCCATCTTCTTCTGGTATGAGTTTCCTTGCACCTGTGCTCCAAAGAACAATGTCAATTGAAGATTTCTTAACCCTCAAGCAACGAAAAAGGTACCATAATTAAAGATTTCTTAACACATACGGCAGCTCGATGGGGATCCCATGAAAAGAATGTTCTGAAGAAGCAGGGTTCATTTCCTTCAGTAACCTTGTAAAGTGGAACAGTAGGAGACAAACCATCCAGACATGCAGCCCTGTCGATATATTTCTGCAAAGAACTTCTAGAATGAATAATGAGCATACTGGAACAATAACAAGACAAAGGGATCGATGATTGTTCGTCACCTGACCGATTTCGAAAACGCTTTGCTTATCTAGTACATCTACACACTGACCAACCCAGACAAACACTTCTGCATGTGTGTCAAGTATCAAGATATCTTCTGTCAAGAGATCATCCTGTGAGAAATTATAGATTTCCTCCACCTGCAGAAAAAAATGTAAACTTACACATTGAATACACTCGATACCTGTAGGAACAATATCAATTACATCGACTCACCTCGAACTTTCCTGAGGCATCCACGAGGAAACAAACGATCGTCGAAAGAAGAATAGTTAGAAAGCTAAAAAGCTTCATTAATAACTTCATTTATGAATAAGAAACAAACCCTTTTTAAGGGAGAAAGTGAACAAGTGGGGATCCCTGGCACTCCCAAAAGATGCTTTTTCACTGGTATAACTTCGTTTCCCCCCGAGTGCGAGCCAGAAGGAATTGCTCTCTTTTCCTTCTCTAGCATTTTTAACAGAAACTCCAGGCTAAATGCAAACAAGATTATTACATTAATTGACATGGATTTTTAACAGTAAATCCTAGTATCCTACAACTAAACAACTTTCTATAATATCTACCTTAAAAAATGCAGCAATTTTTGCAGCTAATTGCTTCTGTCCATTGGTGCTTTCGTTTCCTTGCCATAAGAAAATTGTTTGTTCAGATTGCAGGAGGAAACACTCACTCGAGTTCAACAGAGTTGCCGCCTGAAAATTAACCGTAAAAACAAGGAGGTATTGGCATTAGGACACAAAAGGAGTAGGTAATCATGCTGCAGGCATCATAACAATATAGTAGCTTGTATCTCACTATTTATAAGACAATATTATATCATACGTTTAATGATGGTAATTGGAAATACCAGGGTCTAAAAAGTACTGGCATGCAAAAGAAAATCGATTCTTCATGTCCATGTGAGTTTCGAGGAAAAACACATTCAAGCATTCGACGTTTAAAACTGAGTAACCGACCAAACATACCGTATCGACTTGCAGTACTTTATTATTGTGCACATCAGTTCCTGATATACGAAATAGAGCAAAAGAATCGGCTGTGTAGGTTTCATCTGTCAAGCCTTTGTCAGATAAACTCTTTTTGTAACCAGTGCTTTGACCACCCTAAATTGGAGTCCACAAGAAAATTACTTGATAACCAAGCAATCGAAAACGAGATTCTTAAACTTCAAGGTAGAATCAAATACCTTAAGGACCACCATAGATTGAAAAAGTGCAATGAATTGGGGTGGTTCGTTACCTTCAAACACTCGACCCTGTGAGAAGCATCTATTAGAAACAAAAGCATTAGAATCATAGTACATAGTCAAATTCAATATGATACCTGAACAGGCCTCCCCTTTAACGAGTTACAAAATGTAGTAGCGTACTTATATGCCGTCTGTCGGTCCTCCTGAATCAAGAAATGGATATACTTTTAGAGAGTAGAACACTAGAATCAAGTACATCAAGACTAAGAACATAATTACCTCAATGCTATCGTTCCCAATCCAACAGCACAGGAAGTAATCTTCTTTCTTCTCATCTGAGTGGTAGGTATAAAGCACAATGTAACAGTCTCCGCTGTAGAATTTACCGATATCATCGTTCGGCAATGGTGTCTTGAGACTGTCATTAATGCACCATACCTGAAAAACAAGCAACACCACCATAGCCATATAAATAGTTAGTGCCTTTAAGTCCAGTGCCAAAAAACCAACTAAAAGCACAAAATTCTCTCAACCTCCATCTTTCCACCGCCTTTGAGCAAAGGAGGGACTTCTACATTTACAGGAACAGGAGTGCTAATTTTGCTCATTCCCTTGGCACCAACTCCTTGTTTCTTCAGAAAAGCTAAGGAGTAGAAAAAACATACCATTCAATGAAGTTAGCCATAAAAACATGTTATCTGTAGCTTATTAAGTAGTCATAACTCATACCGGCTACTTTTCCTCTTCCCTCCTCAACACTAGGGGCTGTTGACCCTACCGGCCAAGAATCAAAGTTGCACTTGAATGAATTAGTTTCATATCCTTGGATGACACGGGTCATACGTGCTGTTTGTGCTCTATTCTCCCTAGTGATAAAATCCTGGAGATAAAAAGGTTCGAAACGGGAATTAACATTCTTTAAATACATGAATCACGAAGAAATCAAGATAAAGCCTCTAGGCTCTAGTTCTACCTCAACAACTGGACTGGCAGCTTTTCTGTCATCTACTTGTGTCGCCCGTCCAATCCAAACAAAAACCTCAGCACCACAGTCTAGTAGGTAGCATTTTTTGTTTTCCAAAAGGTCTTTTGATAGTTTGCCTTCAACAGGCTTCAGCTCACCATCAGTTATGCTACAGGAACCCATGATTCCAGTTTAGCAATTAATAAAGACATATACCTTTTTAGACATAACAAAATCTTCATGTCCCTACTTGTAGAAAAAAAAAATAGAAGACACAATTACGGAATTACCTATAAAGTTTAGCAGGAGCAGTATCAAGAATATCATCATCTTCACTGGTAACCTTCTTGCCTAATGGAGCAAAACCACCAAAGAAGACCCAAAACTCATCAGAGTTGGATTCGGAGCCCAATTTCCCATCATCTAGCAAGGTGATTATATTTATGCATATATAAGTGAGAAGTAGAGAACTAGAAAAGCTGGAGAAACAACATTGTTTATATTGTGAATGCATGGATCCTCACCAACAATTGAAACATCACACTTTTCGTCGTGATACTTTTCCTTTAAAAACTGAGTAACTTCTAATGCCTTTGCCCTTTCCTGAATATTAGAATTTGCACCATTGAACTGATAAATCTTGTTTTGAGTGTCCAGGATAAATACATTGTCATGATTCAGTGAAGACCGAGCAAAAGGAATCTGAAACATCATAATAGAAAATGGTATTTTCCCAGATCTATAATAGTCTCATAAAATACATCATGTAAAGAGCTTCTTCTACCTGTTTCAATTTCACAGCTCGCTTTCCTCTGCACACGTATAAACGCGTCTCGAACTCTCCTTCGGGTTCTTTAATTCCAGAAGCAAAGCCACCCTCCAGTGGTATAAGGCAAGGTTTAAAGTAGGACAAAAATTGGTCAGATTCGTGACCTTGAAGTTCCCTGTGCTGCACAGCACGCCCTCCTAATGCTGCATCTAGCTCAATGGCTTTAATAGCAGCTGTTCCAGCTTCGTCCTGCATGTGTCAACACCATCTCAAATGATTTTCTAGTTCATTTGGAAGAAAATTTAAATCCTCAAAAAAGTTAAGTAGAAGAAAATGAAGCAAAAGCCCACCTGACTGGTATCTTTCCCGATCCAGAAGTGTATATCATACAGATTTGAACCGCCTTTTCCTGATGTTGTCTACAAATATATAAATGAAAATACATTCATCCAGGCTCAGAAATATATGTTGTGGGTGTGAATCCATACAAGAGAGAGAAAGCACCTGTAAGACAATGTAAGAATCGCCCGTATAGAATTTTCCATAGTCAGACTTCGGCAAAGGAACCGGCTGCAAATTCTCAATACGCCAAATTTCAGTCCCACTAGAAGATGTCAAGGCAACAGCCTTAAGGTAAAAAAAATATTAGGACATATATGAAACATAAGCACACATCTTAAAATGAAACAAGAGCATTTGCATTATCCTTTTTCTTTCTGTGATTGGACAAAACTTAGTGATTGATTCCATTCTCTCTTTTCAATAAAAAATTCCAATACACATATATAATGAAAAAGCTAAAAGAAAAGAGGTTCATAACATCACAACTTATATGCCCTTTATTTTAAGGATACGGTTTCTGACCCACTCCATGAAATGCAGGATCCAGAAGTTTTCCAGCGCTAGACATTTCTTGGAGTTTTCCTTGTCACTGTTTCTTAAGCAAAAGCTCAACTTTAGAATCCAACCTTTGGCAATATGGAAGTAAAAAACTTACAAGAGATAATACAGGTACCAGGTCATGCAAGGAGGACAAAAAATTAATTTAGAGGACAAAATGAAGACAGCCTTTTTAACAATGCTGACAACAATTCAAGCTGTCTAAAAATATGTTCCTCTTTTCGAAAATCGTTATATAAGCAGAAAACAAAAGATGTGAGTCTAGTACTCAGTAAAAAAGAAAAAAAAATAGTTTGGCCTTCAATAACAGCATCAATTCAAAAAGAAGTCCCGGTTTTTACAATCTTCAGCAACAAGCTGGTATTGGCAGCACATATGAACTATCACTGCCCAATATTAAGAAATTTCACACAACCTGCATGATAGTTTTATTAGAACCATGGACTTTCTAAAGTTATTAATGAGTGCATTGCATGAAGGTGAGCAAACAAATTACAAATATATATATAGCAAACAAATTACAAATATTTTCAGCTTAAATGAAGGTGAGCAATGTATTCTGTCCATGCTAACAATGCTGAATTCAAAACATCAAGATGATGTTCCCATAATCAACTATCTAATCAGCATTCTTCATTAAAGCAAAAATAATCATCTTACCCTCTATGCACAGATTTTCCGACGCTACATGATCCTATACTCGTATTCCTCATGCCAAAAAATAAAACAAACTCCTGTTCTTTAAACTAAGAAAGGACAACTTACCCCAAAATGGCCTAGTCTCAAAAGTTTGCTTGCAGTTGTTCCAAGCCTTTAGAGAATAACCACTTCAATCTTTCTCAAAACACGGGGGCATCCTAGAAAAACTCATAATGAACGCTCCGAGTGAAGCTATGTACTGTTGATTTGATCACACAAATATTGAAGTTTGCAAGCCATTCATCTTAGCATCATTTAACATGATCAATCACGGGAATTAAAAGCAAGAAAAAACGCAAATCCCATTAAAATGAAGACAAAATCAAGCATACCCAGAACAAAAAACATCAAATCAAACAGGAACAACATGAAGAACCGAAAGAATTATAAACTAAAAAAAACAAAAACAACATCATACCGCTGACACCTCCTTCGAAGCTTTTATAAAAAAGGAGAAAGATCTTTGGGTTTGAGGAAGAGAAGGGACAGAACCAAACAGAGCTGGCAAATTAAAAGGTGGGAACGAAAAGGAAATAAACTTGGAAAAATAAACGTGAATTATATTGCACTGGTTAATGTTGGGTGAGTGCTTCTCTTTCTAACTGTTATCTAATTATTGTTGCTTTTTTTTCGAGCTTTTTCCGAGATTATTGAATTAGGAAACGGAAAAATGATTGAATGGACTATGATGGTTAAGACAGGTAACGAGAACCTTGGGTTTCTGTTTGGATGGTGGGAAAAATATTTTTGGGAGGCAGAGGCGCTATTTTAGGCAAAAACAAATGTCATGCGACGATGACACTCGTCCTTTTATAGTTTGTGCTTTTCTCTTTCTTAGGATGGAGCTAAATTTATTTTAATTTAAGTTTAGATTTATTAGGGTAAACTACGTGTTTAGTACCTAAATTATTACTTTTGATATGTTTTAGTATTTAAACATTATTTTTTTAAATCATACATAAAATCTAGTTTTTGTTTCACTTTAGTACCACGTTAAAAACTTAACGTTATGTTTTGAAAAAAATTGAAAGTTTAGGTACTAGAACGAACTAAAACTCATAGTTTAGGTATTAAATGCGTTAAGTTTCTAATAGCAATGTATTAAAATGAAACAAAAACTAAACTTTATGAATGATTTTAAAAAAATTGAAAGTTTAGGTATTGAAATAGACCAAAACTGATAGTTTAGGTACTAAACATATAATTTACCCTTTATTTTTAGGTAAATTACACAAATAGTCATCGATTATAGAGTGTTGTTTTGTTGAGTCATTTAACTATTAAAAGTTATGAAATAATCCTTTGATTATAGAGCATTGCTTTGTTGAGTCCCCTGACTATTAAAAGTTACAAAATGGTCAGCAAACTATTTATATGTTCCAAACTCATCATTTTTTGTTAAACAACTGATGGTAGTTTGAGTTGGATGTTAAACTGTTGATTGTGATATGATAAAATCTAATCTCAAAATCTCAAACGACTATCATATCTCAATCAACAGATTAAGTACAACTCAGTCTATCATCAATCTTTTAAAGAAAAATGACACATTTGGAATATATGAATAGTGGGTGCATGTTTTGCAACTTTTAATAGTTAATAGACTTAACAAAATAACACTTTATAATCGAGAGATCATTTTGTAATTTTTAATAATAAGATGACTCAACAAAATAGATTCTACAACCATTTGTAAACTTTACCATTTATTTTAATATTAATTTCTTAATAATTAAATGAATTATTAACGATTTAATAGTTCATATCCAACTTGATAAAATGTTCAAATTTTAAGGATTAAAAATGTTTTGTATCAAGTAAGGTCTAGAGTTCGAGTATTTGTGTATGCAAAAAATTTCTTGTTAAGAGACTCACCCACCAAAATCATGCGTGCGACGCGAGTTGATTCGAATTAGTCAAGACAAAGCCTTAGAATCGGGAGGGCAACAAAAAAAATATTTTGTATCATGTCACATCTCTATTTACGTTAAGTCACATCTCCATTTACATTAAGTCAATGATAAAACTTAACATAAGAGTGTGAACATAAAAACAAAACGTAACATTAGTACAAAGGCGGACGCAATATTTTATTATAGGGGCGAACATGAATTTTTAGAATTCCAAGGGACAAACTTGAATTTATAAATTGTAGAGGGGAAAACAGATTTTCAATATAAAATACATAGAATAAATCTAAAATGCAAGGTAATTTTAAATTTTTAGAGAAGACGACGCCCCTACCCGTCCCCTTATCCATCCCTCATTTTAGATGACTTAAATAATGGAATAATCAATATAAGTATTATAAATGAAAAAATAATATTGAGAGAATTGAATTCTCATTTAAGAATCTAACTCTACTCCATTTATATAACCCATATTAATGTAACTACGCATACGGAAATTTCCTTTTGACATAAGGCAGCCCGCCAATTTTCAGACGATGGCTACGTTTCCATCTCCTCTTGAGCGAACAGTGGCTTCGGCTCTTCTCGTCCTTTCCACTCAGTCTCCCAAGTAAGTTCAAACGAAGATGAAATTTCAAATTCTCGATCTATATATATAAATATTTAGTAACAAGTGTTTTATTTTATAAAAAAACATGAATTAAACAAGATTAAATATACACAAAATGAAACAAGGTAATTTAATGGATTAATTTGTAAAAAGTGGAAATCTACAGGTACTCTTGACTCATTTTACCCTAATATTCTATTTTATAACTAATCATGTGTACTGACTAAAACAAAAAAGCATACAATTTGGAGGATTTGATGTAAATATAGCAGATTCATGCAAGAAAAAAGGACTAAAATCGAATAATTATCAAATTCACAAGCCAAACCGAATATTTAACCATGAAATTTAAATATATATGCGATGACAAAAATGTAAACATGGAAACACTTGAAACCTGGAATCGTAAATAGACCATTACATTTCATGACCACGACAGAATGTTTCAAAGCATGAGGGACCTAAACTTCCCCCCTTTAAAAGCAAAAACACGGGTGGTGAGAGCCAAAATGACGTTGTTTTAGCCGGTTTTTATACCCTATTTCATCTCAAAACACGAGTGAATAAGGTATAATACCCTATTTGGCGAATGCAGAGGCAGTCGTGCCGGTGGAGGTGACAGATATGGCAGTGCAACAAGGCTTGGCGGCGGCGGCTACCCCCTTAAGGTCATGATGAAAACCCTAGATCTCCATCTCATCTGCGTTGTTGGATCAAGGACAGATCCTTATGACTGTGGTGATTATAGGAAACCCTAAATTATTGGGTTGGTCCGATTGGGCTCTCTGTCTTGGGCCTGGTGATTTTTTGGGCCTACAAATAAATAAAAGTAAATATTTATTTATAAATATATATAGTTATTTACAAATTAATTATAATCGATATAATTAACACTATTAATTCCCACAATTAATGACACATTTAATATTCACAACTAATACCACAATGACATAATTAATAACACCATTAACCATCTTAATTAATAACTCAATTAATAACATAATTAACTAGTATAATTAATGACCCAATTAATATTTCAATTGCTAACATAATTAACCATCATAATTAATGACCCAATTAATATTCCAATTACTAACCTAATTAACCATCATAATTAATGACCTAATTAATAATCACAACTAATATATATTTATTTATATACATAAGCTTGGACAAAAAACAGTGTCTTATTTTCTTTATAACTTTTATTATAATTTTGTTCACCTAAGGGGTATGCCTACTTAGGCATGGGGCCTATATTCAGAAAAGGGTAAATTATTTATTCAGACACCTATTTATTATTTAGTTTTTATTTTGATCATTTAATTATTTTTTATTTTAAATCATACTTAATGTTATATTTTGGTTCTTGTTTTGGTCACTCATCTTTAAAAGATTAGTGGTGATGTTGACGTATCATCATAAGATAATGATGCATCATGATTTAAAAAAGTTAATTAAAAATGTCATATTAACATCATTCTTAATTTTTTAACGACGGGTGATCAAAATAAAATAAAATCGTAAGGTTGACTATGCTTTTGAAAATAATAATAGTTATGTGACCAAAATATAAATTAAATAATATGTGGGGTTACCAAATAGTTAGTTTACCCTAAATAAAAAATGTAAAAATTATGTTAAGAAAATGATATTAGTCCAATTAATATACTATTTTTAGATTTAATCCATATATATATATATATATATAATTATTATATTTTTAATTAAATATATATGAATGATATCATATAAAGTTTTATTTTGTTTATATTAGCCCGACCAATAAAGTAGAAAACTTTCTCGAGCCGACTCATGAATAAAGGTGGCAAATGTGTCATTTAGATTGTGTTTGGGTTGGATCATTTCGGGTCTATATTATTTTCGGTTTAATTTTATTCGGATCGAGTCGGATATGGTTCGGATCTAGTTTGAGTGTACGGTAAATCGGATCGGGTCATGTATCGACTCTGGTCAATTTTTGAGTAGGGTGATTATCGAATCAGTTGTTTTTCGATTCGGATCAATATCAAATTAGTTGATTTTTAGCTCACGTTAATATCGGATCGGTTAGATTTTGGGTTGGGTCAATATCAGATCGGTTGATTTTTGGTTAAGTCAACCTTTAAATCAGGTCAATTCGGATTGAATTGATTGAGTCTAATTAAGTATATATAGAATTATTAATATATGTTTGTAAAAAAATATGTCTTCTTGTTTGTTAATCTTATCATTTAGGTCTAATTTTAATTCTCAACCATTCAATATTTTTAATTAAACCAACAATTACAGATGATAAATCGATAATTTGACACAAATACGATCCTATAATGCGTGTTAGAATTTTTTATCAAAATTTTATATTAATCTTGTATGAAAAGTTTATAATGAGAACTATTTGATAAAGAAATAAAAATTTTATTATTATTTTTTTTCAATTATAAATTTAAATTTTTTTTATTAAATTTTTAAAAATAATACATAACTTTATTTGTTAAGTTTTAGTCGTAATATAAGTAAACTTTATATTATTTTTATTATATATAAAATATTATTTCCTTTGTTATATTTGTTTTCTATTATTTTTATTATAAATATAATATTTTTAATAAATTATTAATTTTATTTAAATTAATTTATTATTCGGTTCGGGTTAGTTTCTCTTCAGGTTGCTTTCGGGTCTGGTTAAATTCAGTTCATGTTGCTTTTGGCTCAGATTAGAATTCGGTTTGGGTTTTTTTCGGTTTTGCTAAATTTTGGTTTGAGTATGGTTCGGATTGCGTATGGGTCGGGTATCAGATCAAATTTGATTATCATATTCGGGTTAATATCAGGTATTAGATCGGGTAAATCGGTTCGTGTAATCGGTTCGAGTCAAGTTTGCCAGGTCTGCTCATGAACTTCTCTAATGGAAAATAAGGCAATTCCCAGAAATCAAACTGCTCTATTCTACATTACTGTCCATCACAATGCTAAAGAACAAGAACTGAGAGTGCAGAACTCTTGGTATCTCTTGCAAACCAAACATTTAAAGGAGGAAAATGGGGTAAAAATGAATGAATTAAATGCTAATCAGTCACAAACTCAACCAATCTAAATCACAAATGCTTCCCTAAACATACCAAGAACCAACAATTCTAATTTGTTGAAGCTGTGAAATCTTTGAGCTTTAAAATAATTAGTTGTAAATCCTTTTCCGTCTTCCTCATGGAACGATCGCCGGAATTTCGTGCTAAAAAATTTAACTCTATATGTACTTCTGGAGGATCAACATCCGGCAGCTTTTAGAAAGTTATCATATGGAGTCGAGGCTGGTAAACTGAAGAATGGGGGATGATTATGGTACTCAGTTGCACACGGCATCGGAAGAACGTCAACCAGTTGTTTGAATGGATTAGTACTGTTGATTTGCTCGAGGACCGGTTCCACCTGCATTTTCAGTTCAGTTGTGAATTCGATCAATTCGTGTTCTTAGGGCCTCAAAACATGTACTTTTCTTGCGTAGAACGCAACGAAATTTCGAAGTAACGAGGCATGTTCGTGGTGCATATGACATGTTTACCTGTATTGCCATGTTATCTGGATGTTGAAAAGAGAAACTAATCGAGCTTTCTTGTCTCGGTCGGGTATTCATCAGAGGAGACATCTTTTGTTGCTTCCCCGTCATGAGTTCTTCGCAATGACAGGCTATTTCCTTGTAAGACATGTCCAGACCTGTGGAGACCGGACTTCTTCCGAACTGATATGCCGTCTCCAATACCTGTGCAGATAAAGAAAATAATTATGCTGTTCTAATAGGTGCTCCTCGTGTTCCCGTACATTGTAAAATCGAATTTCATGGCGGACATACCGATTCCAGGAGTTGATTGACACCATCAAGTCTAGAAATTTCTCCAGAAAACTCTGAACTATCCTTGGCTTGACTTTCAAATGGTTCTAGAAAAGCATCGTCGTCGTAGTCGTCGTCGTAGTCATCATCTATTGACAAAATCGAAGCTCCCTGCCGAAGAAATCACTTGAATTCGAAGCATTGGAAGATAAAATTTAGAAGGTGATGCAAGGATATTTACCTCAATAGACTTATTCTCTCCTGCTCCAGCTTTATATACTCTATGCTGAGCATCCATAGGTAACTGAGCACCTAGTGGACACACATCGTCGGGCGAGAATTCGCTCAGCAGCTGCACCTGTATAACGGACAATTCAGGCTGCCGTATAGTTCATCGAATATTAGTGTAAAGTAATTACAATAGAAAATACTAGTTCTTTGATAATGCATTGGGGTGAAAGATTCTTGAAATTTGGGTTAAAATGTTTTACCTCAAACAAATCTCCCAAGCTTTTCATGATTTCAGAGGCAAGAGTTTCCCTACTTTGTTCCGGGGTTATCCGAATTTCCGAGAGAGTTTTTAAAGCCGAAGTTTCATCTTCTTTAGATCCATAAACGTTTGTAGGCTGGTCGGGGATGGTGTTAACCGCCCGTAGCTTTCGGTCATCCACCAAGCGCAAAAATGGATCAACCTATGAAACATAGAACGATGACATCACAACAAGATATCTTGTTTTTGCATAGAAAAGATAGAATCTTCAACCGTATTCTGGAAGGAAAAGCAAGCGCGGTCTCATGAACGATAAGTTACGTACCGTTATTTCTGTAAGAGCAGCCTTGATGCAATCGACAATAGGAAGAATATTAAATGCCTTCGATGAGAAGAGGATCATTGAAGTAGCTAAGGTGAACAGAGATCTACGACGTGATGGAGGAAGTGTACCTGCAGTAGTAGTAGGAGAAACCTCAGTGTCATCCATGTATACATACACTAAACATATGTGACCAATGTTTATTATAATCACGGATTGAATAGATAATTCGATTGCAGACGCTGTAAAAATAATTTGATTACAAAAGACAGCTACAACTTCGGATGCTCACCTCCTTCATCGAGAGAGATGCTTCTCAGTGACAAAGCTAGCTGGAAACTACGAACAAGAGCCTCGTTACTAGAATTCTGCATTACATAAATACGAATATACAAAAATTGAACTCGTTAAGAGAATGAATCGGAGCTAGATGCTATTGAGGCAGCAATCGATGAAACCGCAACAATCGAGCAATTTACCTTGGCTCGAGAGAAGAGCAACACGAGGCTGTACGTATGAGCGATTGCTTCATAGTTTTGTGGTGTATTTTGAGGAGAAATAGACTGTGCCCAAATCGATGAAAGCAAGAGACTAATCTGAGTGCTACTGAGCCGTAAGGAATTTGCCTCCTGAGGTTTGACAAATAGAAATAGCCACATAAAAATATCATACAAATCATAGGTTTCATTTAAACCATTCATTTTACATGGAGCTTCAAGCATATAGGTAAAGAGCAAATCATTGCTGCCCAAATCAGGTACTATTTTACTCGAACTCGGATGAGAATGCCGGAAACGGGTTTGTATCCAACACGGGTATGTCGATTTCTTTTCAAGATTTTCATGTATTTGGAGGGTCCTTGGAAGGTCATATCCATATACTTATGTTTGGATATGTATTAACCAAGAAAGAGTAGAGGAGATTTTGAAAGACTCACATATGCTGTATTTGAATTGCTTGGAGGATTTTCGTCTATTGCCGAAGAAACCAGCGGACTTCTTGAACCGTATGCTCTACTGTAAGACTTTAACTTGATCAGAATCCCATTTTGACTGTTTACTTGTTGCTCCTCATTCGCAGCAGTCTCTTTATTCACTAGACAAGCATTCTCCCTTGAGAAGGATTTCTCTTTCCTTAGCTTCTCGAAAAGGGCAGCTGAAGAAGAAAACACGGAGACAGTTCTTGAAAGCGTTCTCGGAATGCCAGAGGCTTTCTTCATTAATCCAGAGGATGGTTGAGGGCAAACTGAAGATGGCACAAGAACAACAGAAAAGATACGGTGCGCTCCAATCCGTATTTCATGGTCAGGGTGAACCATAGCCGGGAGTAATTGATGGAACAAAGCCTCGGGAAATGCCTTCGGGGACAAGAAAACATTTAGAAATGTTCGTGAACAAAAACGAATCAATGATTATGATCATTACCTTGTTTAGATAGGATGGATTAGGAAGTGAGGCTATGATTTGAGCGGTGCGATAGACGACGCGGATCGTAGTTCTTGCTATAACTGTAACATTCGGGATGTTCTCCAACATCACAGCCATAGCATCAAGAATTGGACCTGCATCACCAACCTGTTCACAAGAACAAAAACATGAGTTAAACCATTGAGTAATTAGCTTAGTTGATCTGAAAAAGGATCTCGCCTTATGCGATAGCTGTACAAGACAATCATCCACTGCTTCTTTGAAGTTCTTGTTCCAATTTATGATTTCAGTTCCCATAGTTGCATCGTCAAGTGAACAATGTATGCTTTTTCGTAAATGCCTCATAACATCGCTAACTGCACTAAGTATAGCTACCGACGCCTCGACTTTCAAATCTCGAGCAAGGGATGTTATAACCTCCACAATTTGAAGTTGCACGTCAGGTTGTTTTAGGACGTTTTTGTGATCGAGATGCTTAACAAGTACGGACAGCAGAAAGTGTGCATTCTGTCCTGCAAACATCGGAAAACAGATAGTATCGGTTTCGTATCGTTTAAAGGTCATTTATTTTTTAGGAAAAGCAGAACAATGAGTACCAGAACCATCGATTAAAATCTGCATTTCCCTCAAGACCAGCAAGGCGAGACCGTCCTCTTGAGCGGACCATAACTTTTCCTTATCAAAGTACCGGAACACAGACTCATGAACACGTCGTGTTGTAGTAGCTTCCTTTGCAAGTTTCGCCATGTTATGCAAGCAAACCCTGGACCAGAAGCAGGGATTCCGGGTGTCTTCCCTGTGAGGGGGGAAAAAAGAAATTCATTTCAAGGCCAAAGTTCGAATCAAATGCAAAACCAAATCCGAAACTCGAGTCACGGGATTACTCTGCAACGTTTAGTTCGCCCTTGTCGTTTATGATTCTCCGCCATGAAGGAACTTCTACGAGAACTTTTCGCGAGGGAGTGACACGACTCTCCGTTCTTTGCACTTCTTGCACCCATCGAGTTTGGCCACCATTAAGGTCCTCTACATTTTTCTTTGGGACTCCATAGTTTTCCAAGACAATTGAAACAATCTGTGGGTTGATAATTGAAAACCCCTTCAATGCAAAATGGTACTAAAAAACGTTCCCTAAACTAAGATAAACTTGGTAGTGTATTTTAAAAACTCTGAGTCAACTTACATTATCAAATTCCACTGAAATGTGCGAGAGTTCAGCCATTAACCAAATCTACACCAGAAGACAGAAAATCGAACGTATGTAAGAGTTCTTATATATACAATTTGGACAGTGAGAAAGATGTACCAATGAAGAAATTGCTTGCAGGCCAGCTGAACGTAGATTTGTCTCCCTTTCACCTTCGCCAATTTCTTGAGCTAACTGACAAACTTTCGGAATAAAGCCTTCTAAGTTCGACAAAAAAGTACTATCCTTCTGCAGAATTTGGTAAGATAAAACTCAGTTTGAAGCCTGTTTCCACAAGCATGATAACTAATCAAAGTAACAAGTAAAGCTAAAAGTACCAACCTGATTAATTACAAAGTCGAAAAGAGTCTGACATCCTAGAATTTGCATCTCATACTGCCGTGATTGATCCAGCAGAGTCTGTATAATGCTCTGTAAACTAGTAGCAAATAGTGTCCTATAACAAAAGGATTGATTAATAACCAGAAATCAAGTGAGTTCAAGGGAACACTAAAAGTAGAAAGACAATTAAAGTTTCTTTCAGCACGTTCGATTGAGATATTCTCAAATGCTGGACCGAACTAGGTAATTACAGGGAAGAATCCATAAAGGTATAACAAGTTTCAGCAATAAGAGTATCATACTGATAAGAGGAGGCCTTTTCATTACTGCATGAAGAGTACTTTCCTAGTTGAACTAGACATACAATCTCATCTAAGAATTTGGACAGTACTATAAAATACATATTAGATAAGAATTTGGACAATTGAGGTTACTTGTTTTCATTATAACAGTGGTTAAAAATGGAATGCCAAAATCACTTGGATAAGGAAATGACAACATAAAAACAGAAGATCCCATGATGCAATGGTCTAGTATTCTGTAGAGTTTGCAACAGAAAACTCACAGTTGGTCCGGACAAGAGAGCAACAACTTCTTGTAAATGCAAACGACGACTTTCACCGACAGAAAATTCTCATTTCTCAACTCCTTGTAGAACCTTTGCTCAAGGGAATCAGTGATCTGCTCATAAAATGTGCAACAACTGGTTATAAAAACAGTAAGATTTTGAAAGCAATATTAACACGTCAAAAGCATATACTTGGGGTTACAAACATATTATACCTTTGGGATGCGTAAAGGATTTTTTGAAACATATTCACACAGTTTTTCGATCTTGCGATCATTTGGTCCGTCCTCCTACGACATAAAAAATTCAACTTATGTGATCAAAAAAGTGGAAGGACATAGCTTAAAACAAAAGACAAACCTATGGTAAAGATGCAAATCCTCATTCATTATAAAGATAGAGAATGACTAAAATGAGTGAATCACCATCTTATGATTAATGTTTGCCTAGCTAACCATCTTACAAAGTAGCAGATACACTACAGTATACATATGGAAATTTACATTTACATAACTCAAAAAGTTCGAACCTTGTTGCGAGGAAATATTTCGGCAATCAACCTCTTATACCTCTTGACCGGCTGCCGGGACCGTGCGCGCAACGAAGGGCAAAAGACACACATCCGGCCACATGCCGGAAAGATTTGCCTCGAAATCACGCCGGAGATTACACTCATTTTCTTTTTCCTTAATACTTTTAAGATTTTTGAACTGACTAGCTAATGTAACTTCTCAAAAATGCTTTCTTTCCCTTCTAAATCAACAGAAATGCTTGGACTTCAATTCCCAGAAGGGAAAGAAAGCTTGAAAAAGAACAACGGGATACCTTTGAAACCCAATCACCAACCTGTCAACAATACGAAATTATACAGAACTGTCAACTTAAGAAGTTATATTAGAAATTTCGAGGGTAGAACTAAAACATTTCAGGAGTACGAAATTAGATCATCAACAAAACGATTTGAAATTTTCCGGGATAGGACCCCATCACTCCCTCGTTCATCCAAAATCCGAACCGAAACCTCAAGAAAAAAAAAAGGTGTCAACAGAAAACTACGTGGAACACAACATTTGATGGCAACCCAACAAAAAACTGGATTGATCAGACAAAATTAACAAAAGGTTATCTAAAAAAACCGCAGATTTCGATCAAATTAATGGGAAATGATCGATTGAAAAACTGGGTTTTCATCAGAAACGAAAAAAAGGAAACAATTTCGAAGTTACCTTGAATGATCAATGCCAGAAAGAGCAGAACAGAGGCTGGAAATTCGTCTAAGCCATGCGAAACAATATCCTATTTTCCAGCCTTCCCCTATCGAATAAATTTGCTGCTTTTTCTTTCTAAAATTATGTGCTGGAATTAAATCAAAATATGTAATTTGATTCTCTTAATGCTATAATTCAGTTCAGCCTTGCCGGCTGCCATTCTATATATATTGATCGCAGGCACAGCACTCATTGTATGAACAAATCAAATCATATTAATTAATGCTAACATTTTAAGGTATTTATTTTGAAATTATCTCTTGTTTTAATTATTAATTATTTTTTATGTTAGTTCCCCGCGCTAACGTGCTGTGATGTCTTTTCTTCGCTCATGATCGACCGTTAATTACCGGTCACTTGTTTTATTTTTAAGGTAATATTGTACTTTTGGTCCCTATGCTGTGCTGAAATACGGGATTTTATCTCTGTTTTTATTAATTTGTTAGAATTTGATCTATTATTCTTAGTCAAAAAGGCATAAGAAGTCCATGTATTTTTTTAAAAAATAATGTGGTCATCTTATTATTTTTTTCTCTCAATGTGATCCTCAAACTCAGAAAACAAATATAATGTGACCCTTTGACCAATATTTTTCGTCATTGATCATTACAATATTGGCGTGTCAATTCATGGTGTTGACGTGACAGTCTATCTGCCAAGTTTGAATTACCAATTTAGCCAATCTATCATGTCATATGCCATGTTAATTTACCACCTGGAATGTCATATCAATGCCGTGGACTGTCATGTCAACATTGTGGACTACCAGATTAGCATCATAAAGATCAAAGAAGAAAAAACATTGGTTATAGGGTCGCATTGAGTTTATTTTTTGAGTTGAAGGGCCAAATAGAAAAAATAATATAAGGCTCAAATTGGTTTTTTTTCTCAAAATTACATAGATATCTGATGCATTTTTGTCTTTTATTTTTAAGGTAAAAATGTACTTTTGGTCCCTATGCTATTATGAAATATGGGATTTTATCTTTTTTTTTATTTTGTTATAATTTGATCTTTTATTATTATGTTGTCATTGGTTAGCTTAAATAGTTAACACTGATATAATTTTCAAGTTGAGATATTAACGTAGGGGCTTGGTCTGATAAAAATCTCTATTTAAATCCTTAATAGAATTTTGCAAATGAAAATGGTAAAATTACCGGGAACAAAAAATAAAAATTTGCAAAAAGGCATCAGAGGTCCCTATACTTTTGAAAAAAACGATGTGGCCCTTGTATTATTTTTTCTCTTAATGTGGCCCTCCAACCCAGAAAACATACCCAATGTGATCTTTTGACCAATGTTTTTCTGTCGTTCACCGTTACGGTGTTGGTGTGACAATTCACGGTGCTGACATGACGATCAACGGTGCTGACGTATCAGTCTATCTGAAATGTTTGAGTTACCAATTTAACCCATTTGTCATGTTATCAACCACCATGAACTGTGTCGTCACTATAGTGAACTGTCACGTCAGCATCGTAATGGTTCAATAACGGAAAACGTTGGTCAAAGGGCCCCATTGGATTTCTTTTCTTCGTTGGAGGGTCATATTGAGAGAGAAAATAATATGATGGTCACATTGATTTTTATTTCAAAGTATAGGGAACTTTGATGCATTTTTGCCATAAAAGTTTGATGTCGAAAAAGAGGCAAAGGAATATTTAAAGATAAAATGACTTTTTAAAAAGTTTTGAGGGTGAAAAATATCATTAGACCAAAAATTTTCTTGCAAGCATAACAAATTGGAAGAGAGTTAATGTTATTAGTTGATAACAATATAAAAGTGAAGTCATCAAGTGAAAGACAATAATTAAAGTACCACTTCCTTTTTCTTTTTTCACCTTTGAAGGTAAGCTTCCTTCATTTAAATCTAATGATTTATTCATTAAATTAAACATCATTTTAAGACCATTGTAATTATTGGGTTAACTTTAACTAACTTGGAAGAAATCAAATACTATAGAATATTCACTTTGACCCTCAATGTTTTATTTTCGAGTAAAAAGGGTCTTATTTTGAAATGTTAATTAGGTGTTACCAAACAGTTGACATCTATAAAGGGGACTTTTTGTCTCAAAATGAAATATTGGGGTCAAAATGGTCCAAAAAAGACAGGGGCCAAAATAAACATTTTAGTAAATATTGGGGCTAATTTTGGCATTATGTGAATATTAATAACCTAAAAACAATTATTCATCAAAGTTTGGGAGGGCGATTGTCTCTCTCACTTACAACATAGGTTAAAGATCGAACTCTTAAAAGAGAGTGTTATTATCCTTAAAGATCGTACCATCCTAAGTTCAACCGCTTATAAACTAACTTAATGGGACTAAACTCGAAAATTCCGATTTTATGTCGAGTCAAACTCAAATTCAAACAATAATATTTGATCGTGCTCAAATCAAAATTCAAGTAATAAATTTCAATCGAATTCAAATTTTCTACTATTAAACTCGACTCAGCTCGAATACAATAGAATGTCATGACTTTATTCAAATTCAATCAGAAGATCATATTTTTACAACAATGTTATTGAATATCTCCCAAATATACAATAAACTGTTTCGTTTTATTCTTTAACATAGATGTATTTACAGTCAACCTAGCCATTGTAATGATGTATCTGTATCTGTATTTGTATTCGTAACTGTATATGTATATGTATATGTATATGCATTCGTATATGCAAATAGTTTTAAATGTAAAGGCCTCTAAGGGCATTTCGGAACAGTGTCCCCTTCCTTCAATTTGACATTGTTGCAGACAGCTTTGGCTGCTCCATCGTCTTGGTACTGCAAGTTCACATTTTGAAGCACAATCCCTTGGCAAGGACGATTCTTGCTGCAATCGAAATCGATCGCAACTTCAGAAGAACTGGTCCCTTTAATGTTGTTGTACACCACGTCTTTAATCTGAACAGCCGAGCTCTGCAACATATTTTAAAGAGAAAAAAAAGCACCAATCAGTTCGAGGATTACTCTTTGGAACAAATAAACAAACAGTTGGTGTGCGTGGTCTTACCTGTTCGTCGCATGGCTTGCTTTGATCACAATAGTTCTGGTCTATGATGATTGGGTTCTTCACATTGCTCATCTCGATGTTTTGGAATTTGATGTTGCTTGCTGTTCCTGACCCTCCCTGCAAATCATATTCGGTTTTTTTTTTCAGTTATTTTAAGGATAGTAATCCAGTATCCGTATTTGGAAATGTTACGAATATGAGTACCTGCCATGTCTTGATCCTAACTCCATTTGTTGTCCCTGAAAGTTTAGCTCCATCAACTGTCACACCGGAGACAAGGGCCTTTGAATTTTTAGATCCTAAGCTTCCAATACTGAGTTTCATTCGTCACAAACAGATTAATGTAAGTAAATTCATATATATAGATAGATAGATACATAGATAATGTCGAGTTAAAAGACCTAATTCCGTGACCTGGACCGCAAGTTATGTCGGTAGCTTGCACATTCTGAGATCCGCTTACAATGGATATGCAATCATCACCTTCGTTAACAAACAAGAACATTTTAAGTGTTCAGACTTGAAGTTCGAATCTCACTATATGTAACTCGTAACGAATGAAGAGACCGTACCGGTTCCTATGACGGAGCTTTTGACTTGAATGTTCTTCGTATTCGTGATGTGAATCCCATCGGTGTTCGGACTTTCCTCCGGGGATGTTATCTTAAAACCGGATGCTCGAACACCGGTGCATCTTTCAAAAGAGACATGAATTTGTTGAGCATCTTGGATGTTCAAGTTCCGAACTCTCAAGTTCTTGCTCTTGTAGAAGGTGAGAGCCTGCAACATATAGGGTTTTACAAATACTCAGTTATAGTCATAACATTTTATCGATTAGACCAACCGCTATACCGACAACTAGTTGACGATTTTAATGACGGATTTCGATAAAGAAAATAAAGGTGAAAACTTTAACCTACCGTCGGAGCACCCTTGCATGGCTGCAAAACAATGCAAAAAATAAAAAAAGTCAGCATGCATTTGATCGGAGAAACAAATATAAAATTAAAAGAAAATTTAAAATTTTCAGACATACGATTGTCTCGTAATAAGCTTACGAGATTTTTGTTAATTTTGCAAGAATTTTGCCACCAAATCTTCCCATTGCCATCAAGCTTCCCTCCACCACCTTCGACCAACAAATTATCAACTCTATCAAACACAAGCCAGTGTCTGCTATCTTCCTCGTAATCCGATCTATCATCCGATGCCGCAACGTTCCCATACATCTACAATTCCAACAGTAAACACGAGTCATGTTGGTCGGGTACATGCGTCGATCGGATACATAAAATGAAGACGCGGAACAACATCGAGACTAACCTGTATAGTAAGATTAGACTTGCAGGGACCTGAGAATCGAATAGGCTTAAGAACATAGTTCTTCCCTTGAGGAACA